ATCCTTCGCATTAGTTTACAAAGAAATTGGATCTAATTCTGATGGAGTAATCCTAATTTTTTTTTTACCCTCTAAGTTTGGATAAAGTCACATGAAACGTCCAAAAGTTGGGAATAGCTTTTCCTGCTCCATGTATGCGGAATATTTGTTTACAGCTGTTGTATTTATGTGGCATCTTTACGGTTCGTGAAACACGTTAACCTGGTGTGTGTTTGCTCGTTCCTGTGCGTGTGTGTGTGTCTTTGGGTGGGAGGAGAAAATTGCAAACCATTTCTCTCTCCCACCTTCTACAATAATGTCTCACTTGGGCTCCCTCACTCAGATTGCTCATTTTCCAGCGGCTGCTTCTTAATAGGAAGTCTATCCGCTGAAACTGGACAATTGGTGCAAATCCACAGAGACTCATTCGACAACAGGATCAGGGCTCCATTTAGGCTTGTACATCATGGAAGTGAAAGAGCGTGCCGAACATCAGGTATCTATTTCTCTCCTCCTGGCTTTGGCTTTTCATTTTATCACCGTTATTAAATCATTTAAATCACACAAAGTAAATATCAAATAAAGTCTTACAGGGCTGTAATGCGCACAGGGAGCTACATTTATGTGGGTGTGTTACTTCAGATACTGATTAGATGATGAAATAGGAACCACTGGGGCTGGTGTTAAGTAGAGAGAGTGTTTGAGATGTGACTCATGGATGTATCACACAGATTTCTGCAAGCTGAAATATTAAGTTATAAGGTTAGCAACCTCAGATGGATATCTGCTTGTGTATTTCATGGATGTATGATTAAATCAAGACCATGGACTGTATATACTATGGACAACTTGGTCCCGCCTTCCGCAAATATATGGATTTGAAGCCGAAAAGCTCTCAGTAAATCCACGTTTTTTTCTCCACTTTCTGAAACCAACATTGCACAGTAACGTTGTACATATTCGGCGGGAGAGTCGTACGCTCATAGGCTGTATCAAGTGTCAATCATAGGAAACACGAACCCCCTAATAACTTTTAAAAACCTAGCTGTACAGAAAAAAAGAGGACTTGATCACAAACTAGTCGTACAATAACTACAAGTCAACATTACAACCAGGGGGGAGAAAAATTTATGTTCCCACAGCTCCATAGGGATTGCTGGAGGAGGCGGGATTTATGACCTATACTGCAGCCTGTCACCAGAGGGTGCTGTTCTCACGCAGCGAGGAGGCAGACAGCGTCCATTCTGTAAATAGTCTATGATCATGACCACTTCAGCAGTTTAGGCCCATTCTGAGGACCCCATCCTTCCACAAACAAACCTGGATTGCCAAGGCCTGAGGTGGGAAGAGGACACCTCCTCTCTGTTTCATGTGCCTTAGGCAGGAAGAGCAGCAAAGACAGTCTAGAAAAGGGTACACATAGGCACCAATACATGTGACATTGATTTAATTAGAAACAGAATATAAGAAGAAAGGGCTAGGATAGGGTAAGCATATTCTGAATCCCCAAAAAGAGGACACAACGACCCGGGGGCAGTGTCAGGGAGTCACACATAGTTAATTTTGAGAGTTTTTTTGCGCACTTCTTACTCAGTAAGTCTAGATGTAGATTGCTACCTCTGGAAGGACACAATCTACTGCCTATATGGTTAGCCTTCTGTGGCTAGAGAGACAACTTGTTATCGCGCGATTGCATATGAATCCGCGGGTTCTTGTGAGTTCTCGCAATTCCTGCTGTCCGTAATCCGCCAGAAAATTCGTTCACAAATGGTAGGAATTGGTGGATGGCGAAAATCACTGCTGTTCCTCATCAGAGCCATTCCAGATGTGGTGAAAATTGGGGGTTGCCTCTGCAACCCATGAGATGTATTATTGCCATTTCAAAAAATATATATATTCAATGGCTGCTGCAGGGCTGGTGTCAGATGTAAGTTGGGGAGTATTTGTCACTTGCAAAGGACTCTGCACCTCCAAAAGCTGTTTGGGAGCAGAAAGAGGTATTCTTGCTGAGCCCATAGAACTGAATCACTTAGAAAGAGTCTGAATTCCCATCACTTGTAGCTTCTAGGGTGATGAGTTGCTCACCAGATGTCCTAGTTTTGCAGGGGGTTTTAAATAAGTTACCGTCAGAATGCAGTTTCTGTCTGTGCACGAGGTGAGCTGAGGTCATGTGCGGTTGTGGCGGCGGCCAACTCACTCAGAGGTCGGCTTGTTAAAACTGCAGTGATTCATTCCTGTGGTTCCCGCAGCAGCTCTAATAAAGGGAAGATATGCTGGGTTACTGGATTCTTCATCCTTTATGGTATTTTTGATGCATATATAGACTTTAGAAAATCTTTCCCGTGGCAACACGAGTCTGCAAAAGTTTCTGTTTAATGACATGTCACCGTTTTTGGAGGAGTAATCGTTTTGAAAACTGGTGGATCAGCCGCATCAAAAACAAATAAACTATAATCAATCTGTATGAGGCGCAGTGTGCTCATCAAGCGAGATGATTGGATGTGTAGAATTCATTACAGACTCACGAGCTCCTGCTTTTCACTTTCTCAAACATGCGTCATGAAATCTGTGCCGCCATTAAGAACTCCAACTTTCTCCTCTTTTGACAGGCGAGGGAAGTTTCTGGATCCATTAATGGGAGCTCTTTTATATTTAATCTATTAGCTTGAGTCAGACTTCATGGAGGAGCTTTGCCGTGTAGCTTAATTACCAGCTGCTAAATTGAAATGTAAATTCGCTCTTTCTTCTTGGACTGAGGCTGAGTGCTTCAACAGTTTGCAGTGCCAGCAAAAGAAAAAAAAGAGCGAGACAAAGAGCGGTACTTTTGGAAACAAACTTAAGGGGTGTAATGTCACATTGGCAGCCTGGAGGATACAAAGAACTCCAGAGATGTTCATTTGGATGCACAGTGATTAGCATGCAGCGCCCAGTTTAAAAAGCAAACCAGGTTATGCAACTGTATTTATTATTTTCTGTTGCAGACTGGCTGGAGAACACTGATGATACTCCATTTGAATATATAATGCGGTTAAAGACCTGCTCTGTGCCTCTGGTTGTGCTCTCCATATGCTTCCAGTCATTAAACTGTGAATGTGTCGTGAATTGGATCAGTCAGTCTCTGTGTTATGTTTCCAAACAACCCCGAGATCCATAAATGTATAACTCCGCTTTGAGAGCCTCCTCTTTGATATGCACGCTCTGCTGCGAGATCCCCACCACTGATTCCACTTTTATCGACCTATTTCTATTTTTTTATGTAACTCTGTGACTGTTTAAAACCCTTTCCCAAATCTCTTGCTCTTGCTTTGTGCGTCTCTGCTGTTGCCATTATATTGCAGATGAGTGCTATTATTGTTTGCTTGAAACCATCAGCGAGATTTAGAAGCCATTCAGTCAAAATATAGAGGCGAGGACGGCGGCTTATCCCCAAAAGCTTTTCTGCTTTTTCATTATTCTCCCCTCTATCAGGGGGGAGCGTCTCCGCAGAGATCTGTGATTCATGTTTCTTTCTTGGTGGTTGTATAAATATTTTGTGGTTGATTTTTAAATAAAGAAGCAAGCTGAGCTTTCTGCGGGGAGTCGTACTGAGTTTACTCAGTTCATTGTTATCTTTAGAGCTGGTTTTCGTCATGTGCTGTGACTACACGGTCCTGATGAAACATCAAAACAAAACAAGAACTTTATTTATATAAAAAAGGGAAATCCATTTGACTGGAATATCAGGATTTTGTCTATAATGTGTAAACCCAGCAGGTGAAAGGAGAGGGTGAATGTATCCCAGCAACAATATCGTGGAAAAGATCACAAGGAACTTCGGCTGTTGCCTTGGGTGGGATGCATACAAGTATTGTTATGATATGACTGAACTCCCTTGAAACATAATATTGTTTCCCCTCACATCAGAATCAAGTCGAACTGTTCTAATACTTGATTCTGGTTGGTCAAGATCCCCAAAACAACAGTGAGAGCAATGCCAAAGACAACGTGATCACACTTGTCATATCAAATCAAACCATTTACATCTTACATCTGCTTGTTGACACTGTGGCCAAAATTGCAGTTTCTAAGGCCACTCTTCAGAGTCAGAAAGAAGAGACATGAGGAAACACACATAAAGAAAACTGGGACGAAATATTGTCCTGTGTAGCACTTGTGCTGACACAATTTAGTGGATGTAAATATAGTTTGATGTATCATATTGGGCTTTTGACCAGGGAAGGAGTGTTGAGACTGAGTGTTGCTTTTGAAATGGTACCATATATTAAAGCAAGCAGATGACTAATAACCAAAGGGAAGGCAAAGGGAAAATGTTGGGTGGAGTGTGTGTGTGTGTGTGTCCGGGTTGATGGGCTGTACAGTTGGGTGAGCGTGTTGCGGCTACAAGGAGCCCCTACCAGCCTGGCAGGAGAGATGTGGGCTTCCTGGGTCTGTAGGTCACGTCCTTTTAGCTCGCCATCTAAAATCTGAGAAACTTGCCTGTAAAGCCAGAGTTCAAGTAAATCACAATGTCACAATCAATATGCATTGCTGGAATTTCAGTGTATAGACATGTCTTTTCAATCAAAGTACTGCACTTCAATTCAATCTCAACATAATCATCATAATCCACACTAAGTACATAGCACTTGCCTTTAACCCATATAAATAAAATTACAGCATTTATATTAAATACTCATTTCATTCAATACATTCGATTCAGGAATCAATGTTACATATTAGCAATCACTGTTACATTTTGGATTTAAGCATTGGCATCATCCAGCTAACACCATCCATTAATCTGAATGGAGGTGGCTAAGCTATCAAGACAAAATCAATCTTCAAATCTACAGCACTCCTCAAATCACCACAGTCTAGTAGCGGGCTCCTATGAGTTCAATAAAGTTTCAATAAACCAGCGAAAATGGATAAAAACCAACCTGTTCCTTATCTGTCTCCTGCTTCCCTACTGCTTCCTCTCACACTGCATTGCCGCGGTATGATAAAAAAACGTGATTGGTGCCGCTGCGTCAAATGCCGGCATGACGTCATCGCGTAGTTCGTTCCGATTGGCCGAGTGGGCCAGGTATCGATCTCGCGGGAACATGATCAACATCTCGCGAGAACGGGATCCAAGAATACCGCGAAAAGAGAAGCAGGAACTGAGAATGATAAACAATGAGAGGCAGGAGCGATTTATCACCTGGGTTACCCTTGCAATTCCGGCGACAGCAGCAGAGATGGTGAGTTCATTTTTGCATTACCGATCACTACATTTATATTTAAATTATGGCTCCAAACAGTCATGAAAATATAAACTTTCACTTCATCATAAGCAGCTCGAATCAACGTGAAACAAAGTTTGAGGGTTAACGGTGGACAGATGTACCTTCATCATGTTGTGCAACTGTCATGAATGGTATACAAAACAAAGAAAAAAAGGACCCAAAAATGCAAAACAAAGGATTTAATAAAAAGAGAACTAAATGAAAAAACAACAAAAACTTTAGTTAAAATGTCCAAAAGGCAAAATCTCACATAAAACAACAGATGGAGAGAGGAGTGAGGGGAGTTTGTTTCCGTTCGTCTAAAAAGCAAAGGAACTCTGCCATTTAATTTTGTGAGTATTCTTATCAAATTGAAACCAACACTGTGGTCTTTTGCAAACTTAAAGACTTTATCAAGATTCATTGGTCTATTTATTCGTCGAATTAGTCCGACTCCGTTTTACACAGCCACAGGTTCAGTTTCATTCAAGTATTTTTTCTCCTCTCTTTCCTTTCTTCTTCACGGCCAAATCTACAACTAACAAGTGAGAAAACAGCATAAGAGCAGAAAGTTTCTGTATCAAATTAGCCACGAGTGTTTAAAATTCAACAGACAATGTTCGCGTTGTACTTTATTGCTCACACTCAGACACGAAGAGAGAAAATAGGTACTAAGGGCCTTAAAGAACTGCAGGGGCTGTATGTAAATTATAGGGTTAAGGCGTTGAGGGGTACGGAGCTTTATTATAATAAATGAAGTCAAGAAACATTGTGCCATGTATTATTCAGAGCGCTAGTGCTCTCTGTGGATAAGGAACATTGCATGCTTTCCTGGACCGGAGCTCTGTGTCTGATCTCGACTCAAAGAGAGATAGTAAACGCATTTTTGTGGAGGCAGAATTTTAATGAATGGCACACTTTGGGGTTTGAGCCGCTCTGAGGTAAGAAGGGTTCATAAAACCTGACTGCACATGAGACAGTTAGAGATCTGCTTACTTATTATTTTCCAGCCCTGACTGCCCCGTGAGGACTCGTGTGAAAGGAGGGGAGAGTTTTCAGTCTCAGCGCTGACAGGCGATGTCTAAATGGCATCTGCTCAGCCGCTGCACGCCATCTCTGAGGTGAAGGCTGAACTTTAGATCCGAAATCTGAATCACAGGAATGTCCCGAGGCGACAGGCAGGGCTGTGATCACACAATGTGCATAAAAAAACGACAATTACACAGTATTTGTATAAAGATTTTACACCGACGCTTCAGTCGAATTATGAAAGGTTTGAGGCTACGTTTACTCTGGTATTACAAAAATTTAATAGACAATAAGCAGAAGGTAAATTATGCCAGATTAGCATGACGCTGCAGAGACATCATGCTGTTAGAGCCGGTTGAAGGAAAGATAACACCAATCAGACTTAACAATAGGACTACTGACATGTAGAGGGAATTACATAGATTATGTTAGGGCCTATCAGTGGGTTGGATGTTTGGCAGCAGCCTAAAGTTGAAGAAAAAAAGACTGGGTGTCGGGATGTATCAGTAAATGCTGCTCTTACATGGTGCTCTGGTCAGTACTTATCAAAAAAGTTGGCAAAAAAAAGAGACAACCAACAAACCTGGGGTCAAACTGCGGAAACGATAAACACTGACTCTGATTGACAGCTGTCAGTGCATCGCAGTTTGCTGTAAGGGTGCCCGCGCTGACCCTCGTCCACCACCCAAAGTGTAAATAATGGGCGCAAAAATATCAGCAGTAACTTGAACAATGAATGAATAATTCAAGGAGAATACAAATTTAATTTTGTTCTTTATTGACACCATGTGAGACTTGAGGTTTGACTTGGACTTGCAAAAACAAACAAGAAAAATCTTGTCCATCAAATAAAGCAGAATTTTATTACGTAAAATAAAAAAAACAAAAAATGTAACACCTTAGAGAAATGTAGTGGAATAGATTAGTCATGTCTGACACTGAACTGAAGCTTTACGATTGATAGTAACAGTTATGATGGGAACTATCTGCCAAGTTCTTCTTGTACTTTATGAACTGGGATTTTGAGACTCTGCAGAGAACAGACCTCTTGTAACAATTGGATTTCCTGCTCGGTAACTGTCAATATTTGGCGGTGCTTCTTCATGTTTTATTATGACTCGGAACATTGTGTTCAGGCAACGGTTCTCTCCAGGCGCCCCTTCAACCTCGAGTAGCTCTGTTGGTATGGCATCAGATTTTAGATACAGTGCAGCAAGATTCAAGCCCCATCATGTCTGAAGCCCACATGCTTTTTGCAGGGTTTTACAGATGTATAAGCTGCTGAACTTTGCTGATGAGGTTTTCAATATATTATTAACGTGTGAATGATTCATCAAGACAGATACCAAGACATTTATATGTTAAGACTCTTAAAAAATGCTGAAATGAATGTCTCTTGCATTGATTTAGTTTTGCCTGCAACAAATACAAGTTAAGACAAATAATGTGGAGGTATTCTGTAGAGAGTTTAAGTAAAAATGTACCTTCTCAACAGTAAGATGTAAAAAGTAAGCCGAGAAATACAGAGCAGTGTCATCGGCATAAAGGTGGAACTTACAGGCAAAACCCACAGGGTTCAGAACGGCTCCGCTCTGCGCCGGCATGGCTGGTGGATCAAATCCGCAAGCATTATAATCAATGTGAGTCATTCCACAGAATCCATCCGGCATCCGGCTCCGCTGTGGAAAGTCAATACATTGAAATGTTCCCAACTTGATAATGGGAGAGGCCAGGGTTGTGGGATGTGGGTATTTATATACATCGCCGTTTATATACACCAATCGGCAGATCTTATTCTATGACTCCCGGGGAAACACGCGAGAGCTTGTGAGATCTCCTCCAGTCTTGCGAGAAATATTGGCAATCTCACGAGCGCTTCTCCTCCGATGCCGGCGGGGGATCGGATCCGGTGGGTGGTCTAGAGTGGAGTGGAGCCATTCTGGATCCTATGGGTTTAGCCAGTTAGAGTCAGTTATATAGGAGACAATGTTTTTGATATACCTGGTAAATAAAACAGGACCTAAGAGCGACCCTTGTGGAACACCTTTCGTTAATGGCAGAAGTTCTGATTGAATATTGCCCAAAATGGTAGCACAATGCTTCACCATTAAAGAGAGGAAACAATTAACGTAGCTGCAGAAGTGGTGCTGTGCAACCAGGTTGTTAAATGCTTAAGGATCAATTATTTACAATTGGCTGATATTGGATAGAATCACAGTTTTCTAGATATTGAAAACTTTCAGAGAGACTAAAGATTGAAAAATTGCTTTGGACAGAAATCTTAAAGCCTGAGCAACCTCTACAGAAGAGCATTTGGCATTGGATCTGCACCTGTTCCCCCGCTGAACTTGAAAAGTCTGGGAACATTTTTTAATTTAAAACGACATCTTCAGATACTCACAGCACTCCTTTCTTTTTTTTTTGCTACGACTGCATTCTCAAGCTGCAAACATAGTTGAATGGAAATGCAATAACCTTAATCAGCTCCAAATACTCTCGCTTGCCAATCTCCCCGAGGAATAGTGAGGCAGAGCGAATCTCTTATCCCATTAGCCAGTTTTCATTTCCTTTTCCGAGGGTCAGAATGTGAAGCACACCTCTACTAAAGCATTCATAAATAGCATGAACGTAATGGCAGCTGTGAATATTTTTTTCCGCCAGTGTTTGGACATAACAACTCCCACTTTTTCGTTACCCAGTCACAGTTGTGTCATCCACGCGTCTCAGGCAGAATGCTGAGGCGGAGTGAACTGACTAACGCGCGGCTATTTATGGACGTAAAAGAGAGCCTCATGATTAACTGTGTCAAGTGTGGGAGGTACTGCTTTCACACACTGGGAAATTTACTCCATACCCTTCCTCTCCACTGATCCTGCCCATGTGATTTATCTAATGGCTTTGGTATCTCATCTGCAGCCAGTCTCCCTGGTGCCCTTCGCTGTGTTCGTATAAAATAAAGAAGGAAGGAGGGAAAGAAAATGTACGCTTTCTATTCAGGGAGGAGGAAAAACTCTTGAATATGAAACAGAGAGCGGCCTGATAAATATGCATACATCTTTTCACATGATCTAGTCTTCATCCCCATGCTAACAAGCTCACAATGAAAAAATGCAAAGGTTTGTGCTTTGCAGGTACAATTTCTGCAATGTTCACCATCCCTGTTCTTGTTTGTAAGTATGCTAACATGTGCTAATTAGTACGCTAATTAGGTTGCAAACACCAATTAGAGCAGATGCGACTGAAAATAACTCATTTTAAGGGTGGTGGATTTTAGACTATAAATTCAACCAAATTTGCACAAAAGGAAACACAGAGGAGTGAGAAAATTTATGACAACTCACCTCAAAGATGACATGAATATCTAAAAACCAAAATGTCATGTCGCAACCTGCTGCTGCCGGTGGAAGAGAAAAATTTAGATGAGAATGCAACCTCTTGAAAACATGATATTTCATGCATTCACTGAAATATTTTGTAGAGGGATTAAGGATAAACTATTTCTCTACAGTTGGACATGATTGGACATGAGGTATTAGAAATATTTAATGCATAAATTTATGAAATTATTCATGCACATTTTTTTCTGTGACTCAAAAAAACCTCACTTCACTCCAGTTAAGGGTTTATTTGCCATCAGGCAGTTTATTAAAGCTCCTGTGAGGAACCTGTTCTTTGGCGCCCCCTGTGGACAAACACTTTTATCTTCTTTTTCTCCTCAAAATGCTTCAACGGTGTTTTCTGACTAAAATCTCATCTTACTGAGTTTTAGCACTGTCCTACTTATTGTCAGTATATTATACAGATACCGTATTTTTCGGACTATAAGGCGCACTTAAAATCCTTTTAATTTTCTCAAAAATTGACAGTGTTCCTTATAATCCAGCGCGCCTTATGTATGATTACTTGTGCTTATTAAACGATTTTACATGGTACAATTCGCTCAGAAATCTGTCGAAAGGTGTAAGTATGACTTAAGAATGGTTAGCAACAAAGCCGCTCCGCTCAATGGGTATTTGGAGCATTACGGTACACTGTGTCACTACCTGATTGGCCCCATAACAGGACCCCTGAGCAGTCTACAAGACTGCCTGACTGTAATGTCTAAACTAGAAGTGCATTCATGTAAGGCAGCCCGGGTCCTGAGCATGCACTAGCAACAACAAACCAATCAATGCTTAATGTGCCGTATAATCCAGTGAGCCTTATCGCACGAAGAATAAGGTAATTTAAAAACAGGGCGCCTACCTCCTTGCATTGTTTTTTCAGCATTAAACTAAAACTAAAACAAAAAAGAAAACATCAGTCTTATTGCTGATGGTCTCGTTTGCTTTTGTTTGTCATAAAAAGGCATGGACATAAATATGAGTCAATTTTAGGAACGTTAAAAAAATCCTCACAAATGCTTTAAAATTTTTCGATATGATTTACCAGTGAAAAGTTTTAAGAGCAATATTTAATAGTGATTGTCTTCTTTTTTGCACCAAGGTCATACACAAATGCACCTTGACCAAGATTCATAATAGCAACCACAATAGCTATTACAGTTTGTTTGAGAGGGGATAATTAACATATCCAAATGTCAAAGTCATCCATCCAAAAGTTGATGTGAGTCTATGGAAAGTCATCAGGATGCGTCTTCTGGAAACCATAAATGTCAGACAGATTGTTCCGGGAATTGCTTCGTATTAATTGTACTCGTTGGATTATCCCTGAGTGCGCTCGCTACTCTGAGGCTGGAAGTCCTGCAGAGCTATTAGTCCATATGGAGGCTCCATGTCGGCCCACTACACAATAAATTGGATTCGAAAGGATTTACAGCATACCTGATTGCAGTGGCTTGAGGGGTAATGAGGACCTTTTAGAATGAGATTGCCTCTGGGCGGGGGGCACCGCTGGAGGGCCCTAACCTCTGCTCCCATCCCCCACGCAGACACTTCAAGTCGAGGCCTCCTACGTCTGCCTCTTACAGCTCCCAGAAAGCCAGAACCAGGACCGCTCTTCCATTCAGCAGGCCGGCTGTAAATCTGGGAACCAGTCATATCAGCGCCTGGCAGTGGCCGTGGCTCAGCTAATCTCCTGGAGCTTTAAACAATGTGGTTGTCAGACACAAGGCCCTGCCAAGCCCCTTCAGCGAAGTCGAGCCTCAGAGTGGTGAATGATCCCCAACAACACTCGTCTCTCTGCTCTGCTGTGCTTAAGCCAGTCATGGAGAGCAGAAGTGGGCTGAAAAGCTTCCTAGTCCTTGAAGGAAACCATCTACTGGAGAGGAACCCCGCTTCTTCATCCAGAGAGAGAGCTGTGTTTCTCTGTGGCTCTGGCTACCACTTTAGTCCTGATGGACATTATGTGCTAGGAACATTCATGGTCCCCAGAGTTTTAATCCTTATGACTTTGACTATAATCTGTTTTTTTTAAAGCATTATCATGATGTTTACAATTAGAAAGTTTCGGATAATGTTGACTTAACTGCTGAGTGTATTACCCCCAATTTCCGGCTACGAAAAGGCCGTATCCACCTATCGTAACCGTTCGTAACCATTCAAGTCAATGAGTGAATTTCCAATGGCTTCTTTCCGTTCAGCTGCAGATCGCAAGAGTTCTATTTTTTCCAGGCGCCGGAGCATGCTGGATAAATTCAGCACAGATTAACCCGTGCTAGAAAGGAAGTTCGGTACAGACACAAAATAAAACATCCGGTTTCGTGATTCCTGCTGTCCATAATTCGCCACGAAATTCGCCTTACAAACGGATCCGATAGGAATTGGCGAAAATCTGAGCTGTTCCAGATGTGGTGGAAATACCGGGTTAGCCTGATCACCAGAGGATGAATCCTGGTATCTGTTTATCTTCAGCAATCCATAAATCACAGCTATCCTGTGAAATACATACAAACTGGACAATCTTCATGGTTCCCAGAGGTTGTTTACTCATATTTTTATTGATCCCACATCTCTATTTGCGACAGTATTGGCAGGATAAGGCTTTTATTTTGAAAAATATCTATTCCAGTTTGGATGAAACACTGAGCCTTGTTCAGATACTATTGTCATCTTCTTATATTTCATCATTAGGTGTGATCTGAGTGGACCAGGTTGCTATGACAACAAGGAAAAGGCAGAAAAAAAGCACCAAAACAAACATGGCGAGTGCTCCAGGAGAACCTGCACTCGTATTGAGACAAATGTTACTGATGAGAAACAACCAGACAGAGGTGGGATCTACTCACAGCATATCTGTCCAAATCAAGCCCTGCTTTGTACTGACCCTGAGTATTGAAGCAGTGTTAGATGAAGTGTTTGGCAAAAACAAACTGAAAATTAACACCAACTGGAGCTGGCAAGTTATCAAAAGTAAGAAACAACCACGAGCAGAGAAGTTGGCGTATCTCGCTCCAACCTTTGGCTCTAACTTTTGACATCTTTAGCAAAACTACTACAGCTCTGGAGGATGCAGAATCGATTTCAGAGTGTTAGTGGAGGTGGTTTTGCATGCAAATCACTCCTGTTGTTAAACTGTGTTTGACCAGCAGGTGGGCTTTTTCACCTCCACATTCCCAGTGTCGTGAAAAACCTTCAAAGTGGGCCTAAAACAACCCATTTCCTCATATTTTGACCAACATAATAATCCAGTTAAGTTAACATCAACTTTACTCCAGCGCTGTGTGTGTTTCTACATTTATTCCCTGACTGATTTTACGGCTCGGACTGATGAAAAAACTTGGCTCTCCTTTCTTTACATATTTTACAGCTGCTGAGGTTCAAAGAAGGACGTCTGTGTTGATGATTCCTTGAGGGAGAGACTAAAACTCTTACTGGGATTAATAAATAATCTCACAAGCTTTTAATACGGGGAGCTTAGCATATGGCGTTCCTGTTCAAAGACATGTTATTTCTCAATGGAAAGAAAAAAATAACACAAATATAGTGATTAAATTTACTACAAACTCTATCCAACACTTGTTAAACACAACAAAATGATTGGAAAGTATATTTTTTGTACTTTGAACATGAAAAGGAGAAATAACAAAACGCCGTCCCACACAGCTGCTCCTCTGAAAATAAATGGTGGTCATAACAGAGTTTTTTCTTCTCTCTAAGCCTCTGGGGATACAGTAGTAAAAAAATAAAATAATAAAGTAAAAGTTAATTTGCATTTAAGAGACTCAGCTAAACTCTGAGTCCCCGAAAAAATCCTTCCCTCCATTAATTATTAGTGGAACAGCTCCAAGTTGGGTCTCTTGATGATTTCACAAATAGAGGCACTTGCTCCTTGGTTTCCAGCTTCTTTAAAATTCAAATAAGATTTAAGAAAAAAAACGAGCCTGCAGTGTCCATGGCGCAATTTGTATGTATGCAAGCTTACGTGTGTTCATGTCCTTAATAACGCTCATGCTCGTCCAGGTTAGATCATTAAGAGGATGTAACATTCTCCCTCCCCTCTTCCATTTTTCTGCAAATAGGGTACATGAATGAGTAATGAAGACTTGAGGTAGCTGGCTGTGCGCTCTGCAGTGTTCATTTTCTGCTGTTAAACGCCTTGTTAGTGGCACATCCTGCTACCCTCGTTCTCCCCCTGCACCACTGGAGGTAATTGTTTTGGTACGCATCGCTGAAACACTCCCAGAAAGCAATAAAGTGCCAGAAAAACACAGCAGCACGACAGCTGAGACAACACTGTCTCTGGCTATCTCTCTCGGTCAGATTTGACAGCAATTAGTCGGGTTGTCATCGCAGGTTTCGCTCTCTCTATACATCGTGATGACATCCTTGTCACCGATGGAAAGAGGATGTAAGTAGGATTTGGCAGGAGTTTTAAATCTCTCTCTCCCTCTCTGAGCAGAGCTGCTATTCAGCGCGGAGTGAACAGATGTTACTACATACTTGTTTTTCTGTCAAATGAGAATTCAGCATTTTCAGGAGCAGATTGCGGTTTCTGGGGTGTTCCTCCTCATTACAAGTTGCCAAAACAGTTTTCCTAAAAACTCTCTAAAAGGAACTCAGAGTTGAAATCTACCCAAGCAAAATTTCGGATTCAGAGGAGGTTTCTTCATCAACAGCTTTTTGATTCGTTGTATTTATTGTATACCTGACTATTTTTATCTAATTCTGTTTGTTGTCTTGCCTGTCCCTGATTACCCACGAAGAAAAATGTAGGGAGTTACAAATCAAAAACTAACGAACAAGTTGTAATAATTTCCGTATGATGTCAAAGTATAATGATGGAGATGTAACCTACGACGTCTCCAGTAATTCAGAGCTGGTACTCTGTCAGCTCATGGAATGCACAATAAGCAGCAATTGCAATGCAGAGGGAGAAGTTTGTCAGACTTTCACAAAACTTTTGCTTGAGCTGACCACATGACAACAACAACCAAGCAGTGTTGAAAATCTCCAACTTTCCGTGACCAAAAACTCAGTTTCAAGAATAACTGCACGCCTGTGGATGGGGTCTTAGTCTTTTCCAGTTTTTAACATCATTCGGTCTTCAACACTTGCAACTTATGTCCTTAAAATATTTCACTTTTCCCTCTTTTTTCTTGACATTATTACCTGCTACAAATGGTCCAAGTAATGCTGACTTCGACTTACCTTGGAAGTCAGATGTCGGAGCTGAAAATGACGTCACACCCGAGTTACCAGAGTTTCAGTTACCAAGTCGGAAAAAAGCTAAATCAGAGGCGGAAACAAGATGGCTACATCTACGAAAGTTATTTGAGCGCTTCCTTTGTCTGCATCTAATACGGACAAGGCAAGCGCTAAAATAACTTTTGTAGATGTAGCCATCTTGTTTCTGCCTCCCATGGTAACTGAAATGATGGTAATTCGAATGCAGCATAAGCCTTTAGAGTTAGCTCCGTGAATTACTCATAAAACTAACATTTCTGTTTGTCTCAGCAGTATTTCGTGGTTAGCATTACTGTTGAAAGATTTGTGACCTGACTTGGATTCAAGCACTGATGACTTGGACTTGGACTAGTTTGGGATGAAACATCAGCCCTTTTTTAAAAACCTTAAAGTAATGGACTTGACCTCAGACTTGGATTCTAAAAACAACAGTAACGAGCTGGCGGCAGCATTTTAACGTTTATTTACAGCTTATTTTATGTATTCCATTTTAACAAAATCCCTTTAATGCCTAAAACCACAAATTATGGCCAGAAAATTCTAATTTTTTTGGAGCTGAAATGTATATTTCACTTACTACTAATAACCAAAAAATTCAAAATCCGTGTTTGCCTTGTTATTGTGAGCACATGCTTCAAGTAAAAACTCCTTGTGTAGCGCTGTGATTATTTTTCCCCCCCGACCGAGCAGCTTCCTCTTTAAACGAGGCTCTGAAAATGTTCTCCTGCCATTAGACGCTGACATTTCTGTCTGGTACATGCTGTTGGGCACTCAGCTGTGTTATGGCGCTCAAGGTCGCAGTCCTGTGGCTGCCGAGCGCTGAGTGGCAGCTGTCTGAGCCCCCCAAGAGTCCCTGGGAAGCTGAAAGGACACCGCCGAGCAAAGTCTAGTTCACGGTGAAATGAGGAAGATACTTGTCCGTGCTGAACCTCCTCTCAGACGACAGCGTACTGGGGTCTGTTTGTTATACATCCACTGGTTTGATTTCATCTGTAGCTTAGAAATAGACCAAAACAGAGGCACAGAAAATAGAAACCCAAGACGATTATCAAGTTGAAGCTCATGTAGAGATCCTTATTCAGCTGCATTTCTGTGTAGAGTATTCTCACACCCCGGATAAACACAATGGGAAAACCTCACCCCTCATGAATGTTACATAACAGACCTGAATTTTTCCCCCCGCGTTGATTAGCAGCGATAAATCACCATAAGACCCCTTCATCAATCTACTTACCATACACCCGGTGTGCAGGGAGAGGGGCTGATGCAGCAGGGCAGAGATATATGACAGTGTGCATATGTAGATCAAAGGCCAGAGTGGGTCTGCAGGAGTGAAAGCACAGCCCGAGGACAGACTGGGAGTCTGGGGAGAGCTGTGTGGGCTCGGTATCAAACAGAAACGCGATTCAGAAGAGACGGGAAAAGGCTGTTTTCTGCTTCTGTCTTTTTCTTTGTTCTGTCATTTCCTTCTCCATCACCCTCGTGGTTCCACTTCCACTCTCTTCATGGGAACACTTGATTCACACCGACTGCTATCCGCCTTGTAAGGCAGAATATTAAGAATTCATAGTTATCCAATATGTACTCAGCTCAACACCTCGGATCCCCTCCAAGTCGTCTGTCTTTCGTCTGCAAAGGTGATAAAACTGACACGTCTGGTCTCTAGTCATCAGTGTGGAGGAGCTGTATCCGGCAGGAATTAAACCGGGACATGAGCATCGGTGAAAAACTAGTTCATTAGGTCTCCGCTCTGCATGGGATTAAGAGTGGAGCTGCATGATGATTGGGTTTTCATCGTTGTACCTGCAGAAACCAGCGGCTCGGATTTCATTATTTGTCCATGTAGCCGGGAAGTGTCAGGGAATTTGCATATTCAAAACGCTTTGCAGAGGAAAAAAATACAAATGAAAACAGCCACAACAAATACTTTTCCTCTTTCGTTTTGTACGAAAGAGGATTAGGGCCACAAGAAGAAAAAATAATTACAGGAGGGAGATTTTTTTAATTTCAATAACAAGATTGAGGTCGAAATTTTGAAAAGCCAAAATGAAAAATATCGCATTTTGTACGAAGGCGGCAAGTACAGCTTTACAAACTGTTTGAAAGAGGACATGGTGAGTGACGAGCGATGATGCTGTTGACTCATAATCATTAATTTTAACATTGACTTAATGCATGAAATTTCGTCTTTATTTGCAACAACTTTATTCTCGAAATTTTGATTAAATACACGAAACTTAGACTTTATTGGTGTCGACTTTAATCTTGAAATTTCTACTTGAATCTCAAAATTATAATTTTTTTAATCTTGTATTTCCACATAATTGACGACAATTCGACTTTAGTTTCAAATTTCAGTTATATTAACAAATTATGACTATTTATGTCGACTTTAATCAGGAAATTTCGACTTTAATTTCGAAATTTCAAATAAGTTTACAAAATTTTGACTGTTTATGTTGACTTTAATCTCGAAATTGCGACATTATTCACAACATTTTGACTTTAATCCTGAAATTTCGACTTTAATCTCAAAATTGTATTCTTTTAAGATCTCAAAAATTCGACATTATTTATGGCATTTCGACTACAATCTAGAAATTTCAACTTTAATCTCAAAATTGTAATTTTAACAAATCTCAAAATTTCGACTTTAATCTCGAAATTTTGACTTTTATCTCCTTACTGTAGTTATTTTTGTTCTCCTCATGTGGCCCTAATCCTCTTTTGCAGTTTTGTGATCGTCTCAATAAGCAATGACAATGTAAAATGGAATGGAAAAGTAAGCATGATCATGTTAAAAGCAAAAGGTGCAGGACATCACATTTACCTGCTGTTTGTTTGACGCAACTGTGAATTTGCAGGTTAAAGACATCTTTTCTGGCCCAAACTTCTCCTTTAAATGATTTATTTTTGAGTCGAGCATGTATGCACTTTGGATAATGCGCCTTTTTTGTTTGGACACATGTTGTATGGGTAGGAAACATTAGAAAGTGACCTCTTTACATGCATCAGAATCTGGACTGTTTCACTCCCATACCATTAAAATTTGAGTATCCTCATACTCAGTCGGGGACTCTCGTAATAAAAGCCAAATGTTATGCTCGGCTTTGCCCAGTTACTCTCAGCGCTGATGGCTCTGCCCTCTTAGTCAGCCAAGCAGCATGTTTCAGATTTCCGGGGATTGCAGAGCAAAACCCCGTGGATATTCAAGGTGAGCCAAAGGCTTTTAGGCTAAAAAGGTGTCAGAGCTCGGTACGCAGCAGCTGAGTGTGAGCAGCATTAATGCCGCAGGAATCAGGAGGGAGGAAGTGATGTTTAAATGGACGTCTCGTGAGAATCGCCGTGATTGGTTTGTTAATGAAGGAGCTGGCTGTCAGCTGATTACAGCCGGGGTGAATAAACTTCTGTGTCCAGCATTAATAGACCAAAAGCTTCATTTCATCATTTATTTTTCAAACCTTTCTGCTGCCAGTAGTTGGTGATCATAACTGGCCTTATTTCATCAGCAAATGTTGGCAGGCGTGCAACCTCATTAGGCATATCCACAGTAAACCCGCTAAACCGGGCCGCTTTGATCTTAGACCACACCGCTGGGTAATGATGAGACGATGATGATGGGGAGGAGGACAGGACTGAGTGGAGGTTTAACGCCTCAGTTTTACTCATATATAAGTCTCTAAATCAGTTAAACTGGATGCTTCTAACTGTCTGACGCAAGGATTAGCATTTCTGATAAAAACTACCTGTGCAGGGGAGAAGCTAGTGGAGTGGTCGCCATGGCTGTTTGATTCTTATAAATTAAAATAAAGTGCCATAAACACACAGGTCAAGGAGAGGCGAAAGGGGGTCAGGGCCCACAAGTTGAAGACACGCCCCTGGGTGGATACTTAACTGAGCCTTAACCCCAATTTCCACCGCATCCAGAACGGCTCCAAATCTGTGGGTTCTTGTGATTCCTGCTGTCTGTAATTTGGCTTCACAAACGGATCCGGTGGGAATTGGCGGATGGCAAAAGCTGTGAAAATCCAGCATTAAGCTTTATCGTTACCTTTAAAAGTCGATCAAAACTACAAATTGTCTGACTGAATATGATCTCCAACTAAGCTAGATTAAGGCTTCGCCACAGAGTTTATAACGGTAACAGTAGCTAGTTGCAGAAAGTGACAAATTGAGGGAAAATTTGAGTTTTGAATATCTGAAAGTCCATCTGTAGTATTTTTGTCTCCTTAATGAAAAAACAACAAACATTTGAGTTCTGTTATTAAAAAAAAAAAAAGGATTTTCAGGTCGTCATTTTCTCAATTTTCATTCACAAAATTAAACACTGACTTTATATCAAACTGATACAGACCATCTCAATGTTTTTTATATGTGAAATATCTTTGCAGGATGATACTCAGTAAAAACTAGAAAAACACTCACCTGCCATTTGGCGTCCGCAATGAAATAGCCTGTCTAGCTAGTTAGCTACCTGTTAGCTAAGCTCGCAAACAGTTAAGATAACGGAACTTAACCGAACCAATTTACTGACACAAGGTTGTACAAACAGCATTTAATGTTTATTATTTGTTTTTATAATCATATTTAAGAGCATATTTACCTTTAGAAAATTCTCATGATAAATATAATAAGCTTCTGTACATAGGATCGGTTACAGGCCTCCTTTTTAAAACTGATTTTTTGTCGTATTTATGCACACAGTGGTAAACAAAAAAAAAAAAAACAACAAGAGTGCGATCTTTAATCAAAACTGCAGCACTTTTCAAACTCTTCTTTCTAACCAGGAAAGCAATTTTACCCTGAGCTGTGTTTGAAATGTGAGATGCAGCTTTGAATTGTCGAAGACGTATTCATTCCCCCGCAGTCATCATCTTTCAAAGCAAACCTCGGGCCAAACCTTTTGAGTTCTTATTTGGATGCATCTTACTTTGCTTGTGAAAATGATGAAAAATCTTCACAGAGGTTATTTCGAGGTTTTGAGGCTCCACTCCACGAGACGGCAACTCGATTTCAACATACATACATCTAGAAAACTAAAATTCAGCCGAGATTAAAGCTTTCTCAGACTTTGGCTGCAGCCCTGTCAAAACTGTGACGTCTAATGTTAATGTTCTTGGAAACTAAAAAGAGGAAGTTAAATATTACCGACGTTAACAGTGATCAGGATATACAACCTGTGTCCAAGATAAGGGGCTGCATTCTTTAAAGGGGATATCACAGCACGGATTGGGCCATGACCGAGGCTATCACATTTCAAAGGTTCCTCCGAATGTGACCGACAGAGCGTCTTGATTTTTAACCCACTTCAAAATAACAGTTGACTGTCCAGTGGCAGAGTAACACACTTATAAGATTATTTGTTTCAGCTAGAACAAAGAGCTTTAGAATTTCAAGGGATACGTAAAACAATAGTTCAGTTAGATGACTTTGTTACGGCAAAACACACAGGTGAAGTTCAGGACAGCTGGAGACAGGGATCCTCTGTAGACCAGAGAGCTTCATTAGGGTGACCATATGTCCTCTTTTACCTGGACATGTCCTCCTTTTGGGGGGCTCTTCGGCCTGTCCAGGTTTGTCCGGCTTTGTCTGGGGAAGTTTATAAAATCCTTCAAATGTCCACGGTTTTGTACGGAAGTTTCGACTTTGTGTCACATGGACTTATTGAGTTAGAAGCGGGTAAAAGACACTCAATCCAACCCGAAAAACTCTCAAAATTTACTTTGTGACTCCGCCCTCTCATAGTAGTGTACTCTCTTTGGGAAGTCAGAATATGGTCACCCAAGCTTCATTTCACTTGTAAAGCCGATGGATCGGTTAGATACTTTTTAAAGGGATATTCCGGTGTAAAATTAATTTAGAGTCAAAGACACCATAACACCGATTTAGACACCCCGTTGAGAGATGAATGTTGCTGACCGTTTGCTTCTCTAGTTATACCTATTCATGATAATTTTTTTACAATTTACTTGAAGTAATAATCACCATATTAATCACTTTCACTGCAGACGCGGTAATTCTTCTTCCTTAGCGTCTTGATCTGATTGTATTTCCATGAAGAAATGTTCATAAATGTTCTTCCTCGGGCTGTGAAACTCTGCAGCAGTCTGAAATGGACTGGCCCGAGGTCTCACTACAAACAAGCGGCTGCTGGAAGAGAGTAGGTGAGTTGTGTTTAGTCTCTTTGCGAAAGAAATTAGTCAAAGTTAAAAAGATGTTTGGTGTCTAGTACTATAGCTAGGACCCTGTATGTACTGTTGATGAAGTTAGGTGCTGTTCTGAGCATTATTTGTGGCTATAGAGTGGCGTTTTGGTTGAGGTTTGTTTATGGCTCCTCAGACTGCTGTGTATTGCTGTCGTGCGGTTGTTACTAAAGTTGATAAAACAAGAGAAGCAAGTGGTCGGCAACATTCATCTTTCAAGGGGGTGTCTAACTTGGTGTTACGGTGTGTTTGAACGGTAAGTGAATCAACAATATCGTTAAATAACTCCATGTTGACTGATGAAGCTAACAGCTAAC